AGGCCAGCCGGCGGCGCGTGTCCCGGCTGGGGCATCTCCCGGGTCCGGCAGTGGCGAGCGAGCGGCCTCGTCATGTGGCCCACACCCCATGCTGGCTAACTGGGCTGCTATTCAGATTTTTTACTACATGTATCAAGCATAACATGACTCTCAAATATGTTCTTGGTGTTATGGGATACAGAGGAGGTGACTCTTTGGGGAAATGACCAGTGACAATATATAATGGATGGTGTCAGGCAAGTTTGTGTTCTTTCGAAGTCTTACTGGCGACTCGAGAGCCCCTGAACTCGCCAAAAGATATCCCGCATAAAGAATAAATGTACGCGACTGCGTTTACTCACTGGAGTCACTTCATTGTCTCAACTGTGTGCTCATGGATGCATATTTGCAGTTGGGCCACAGTCGCGATGGCCCGGAGAGAGCCGTGCCGAAGCTCGCTCCGTCGGCTGGCCTGTGGCTGGAGCGAATTCGCGAAGTTTACGATTCCGCATAATTTCTGAAAGCGCTGTAATTGTGTACCCACAAAGACCGTATCCACAAGGACGTTTGTTCGACTGTCGACACCAGTATGAGTTTACCTGTGTATCTCTTGTTCTACACCATTGTTATCACTCGAAGCTCTGACTACGGCCGCAATAGAGTCGCCCAGTTCGCCAGCGCCTGCCAGTGAGGGAGATTGACTTACACTCAGGCAGGCTGCTCACATCGAATTATCCAGGCTTTTCGAACGTTGATCCAGTTCTCGAAGCATTCTTCTCGGGTTGACCTAGACCGTCATCTAGTACACTGAACTTGAGAGACGAATGTTTCCGCTTGCACCCGCGTTCTTCCGACGCTCCATTCTGGGAAGACTGTTGTTCTCGTGTTCATGATGGATGACGACAGGGAACAACAGCGGGTTCGTCCCATGTCCAGCACAGGGGCGGAGCCTGCTGACGCTCATCCTCAGCCGAGCCCCTGCGCCCCTATATAAGAGTCCAACTTTGAACTGGCAACATTCCCACCATCTATTTCCCGACAACCACTCCTAACGCTACACCGCGCTCCCACTGCCATATCAGTTGTTTAGGTCTAACAGTTCTGGAGTTTTATTCTTAGTGAGTTCTACCATGTCCCATTTGAGACTTTCGCGCTCACCAGAGCGCGAACAGTCTGAACTTGTCGCCAATGCCCATACAATCTCCTCGTCCACAGACGCCCCTGTCCTCACGAGTCGCACCTCCCAAGGTCATCTCTGGAGGCTCCCATGGACCTCCTCCCCAACTCTCTTCCGAGATTCTTCTTCGAATATTCAAAGCCCTCGGTATCTTCGACGTTCCTATCCATGACACCCAATTCCTCGACCTCGTCCGTGCGGACGATTCCGACCTCGCGCTTTCCATGTCGGTGACTGGAGACGGGCGCAGCGCCTATCGTCTGAATGCCTTCCGTACGCTCGCGTGCGTTTGCAAAGGGTGGACAGAGCCGGCTAGGACTGCCTTCTGGAGTGCAGTTGATGTTTCCCAGGATGGGATGGTGGGCTTGTTGAAGGCGATGGAGGATTCAGGATCGAAGTCGAAGGTAGCGGCGATCAAACATTTCAGCATCTCGATGCACAAGAACCTCAACAAGGCCCAGAAGCAACCAGTCAGTGCGGACGACATCCGGTTCCTCCTACCCAGTATCCTCTTCAGACTCCCCCGCCGTCTCCGATCATTCCAAGTCTTATGCTCCGACGATAACGATCTCGGTCTCGCCGTATACGAAACAATCGTTAGCGCCCACGTTTCTTCCACTGCCCAATCACCCGCCTCGCTCTGGACCATCGATGCTGACAAGGTCGATATCCGCGCGCGAGGTCACGGGCACCCGTTGAGACTGTTCCTTCGCCATTTCACTAACGTTAAGGACCTGACGCTCAGCGCTGGCTGGCGTGACCATCGTCCTTCCGTCATCTCTTCTCCTACCCTTTCCCCAACGCTTTCACCAAGACTCCTACCCAAGCTCGACACCGCTTCGGCCACGAACGGTAGTATACGCGCACCGCCCTTCCTTTCCGCATTCGACGGCCTTGACCTTCAGAGCCTCTCCATCATTCTCGACTGCAGCACGCCCACAAACGTCACAAACGAGCCAGACGCCATGGATCTCGACGAGGAATCGTATTCAGGCCATATCCCTAGCGTCGCCCAACACCTCGCACTCGAGCTCCGTAACTCGGAAGCTTGTGCCAACTTACGTTCCCTCCACATCACCATGGACAACTGGCACGATAACATCTCCCCCGAGGACAGCGTGCGCGCGTTCTCTCACCTGCTCTCCATCGGTGGCGAGAGTAGAGTCGGAGTCCAGGAGCTGACACTCGAAACGGATTGCGACAAGGAAACCTGCCCGAGGAGCGAAGAGTCGTCTCAACGCGTCAAGTCCCTCTGCGAGACGATATTCACGCACCCATTCACGTCATCTTCATCGTCCTCCACCTCACCATACGACGCACCACTTCCACCCATCATAACTCCCTACCCCAACCTTACCCACCTTCGCCTTACCGAATTCGGTCTCTCACCCCTCTCCCTCCCTCTTCTCATCCACACCCTCGACTGTTCGCCTACCCTTCAATCCCTGGACCTCACCACTATCGACGACCGGGAGGACGAAGCTCTGGCTGTGGGGCATTGTTTGAGACTGGAGAGGTTGATGCTGAATTTGAGGGAGGTGAGGGTTCGGTTTGGAAGAGTGCCCAGAGGGATCGGAGAGGAAACTAGTGAGAGTGAACTGGATGGTCAGGTCGAAGCTGGCGGGTGGGTAGGGCTGGACTTGAGAGAGTCGTGGGGTGAGGTTGAGATGGTCGGGGCGACGAGAGGGGGGATCAATGTGAAGATTGTCTGGCCAGAGGAGGCATGATTTTCGTGGCTGCTCGAGTCTTTGGGTGCGACGTTTATTCAGGCTGTTGCCGTGGTGAATTTGGATTCGTGTACGATGGTCTAGGGTAGCGTCTTCGTAGGCTTTGTCGTTTGTTGCTGTAAGTTATCAACTGCAGAAGAAGTCCTCGATTGTATGTACGATGTCCGATTTGCTTAATGCTCGAGAAACGATGACTATTAGGACCGTATTGCATTTGTATCTAGTATTCGAATATCAGCCGCTGTAGTTTTCTTCTTTCCGGATCCGTTCGCTGCCGTGACTCCTTTCTCCTTACTGTCCCAAACAGTAATTTGTTCAAAAGGACCCCATGGTCTCAACGGCAGCCTGTTGGCTTTAAGGACGGTAGGCCACACTCAATCAGGAGCAGAGTTTCTCATCGGTGTCGATGCACTCCGCAGCGAGCTGTATGAACGTTCAGCTCTCTGGTACGCGCATAGCGTGAGGTAGCTCTAGGTCAGGACGATGTACAAAACGATGTTGAGATTGCGCGTAAGTATTCAGAGCAGACGAGGCGGAGCCATAACTTGTAAGTAGCAGGAGACAACGAGACACTATGCGACTATGGACACAGACGTAAGCAAGGAAAGATGAGGCATAGTACTTTGAGACTTGAGGAGACTTGAGGAGATCCGAGACGAGTACAGAATGGACGAATGGGTGGGTCTGGCTAGTGACTACAGACATTGTACAGAACAATGGGGGGAGTAGTACAGTAGCTATGACAAAAGTCGCTATGAGCGTCCGTGAGTGGTAGGGTTCAACGGTCGAGTAAGTGGATAAAAATACGGTTAAGTTGTAAGAGACAAAGGGAAAAAAGACAATAAATAAGATTGATGGTGGAAAACGAAGCATAACGGAGAGAGAGAAAACACGAGACATTGGGGAGAGGTGGGGCGGAGAGGAAGTCGTTCACCGGCAGGGGATCCAACACATTGAAATGGAACGACCGGCCGAAGGAATACCAGTGCCCATTTCGTATCTCCTACCTACTTCACCCTCCTGCGCTTGTTACCACCACCCGAGGTTTGCGCGACGAAGTGACTAGTGGCGGTGGAGGCGGAGGGGATGGAGGAAGGGCCGGCGATGGAGGAAGGGCCGGGTTGGGATGTGGACGACGAGGCTTGGGCGGGGAGGACAGGGGAAGAAGGGACGACAGGAAGGTTTTCCTCGGCCGTGATGATATCGAGCTCGACGAGCTTGGCGTGTAACTCCTCCAAGGTAGTAGCCCCTTCTCGAGTGAAGGAACACTGCTTTCGGAGGTGGCCAATACAGCGGGCAGGTTGCCCACGCTCATTTCTCCACTCCCTGCAGAGCTGACAGTAAACGGAGCCGCTGACATGGCTCTCTATGTGGCGGGCTAATGACTCCAGCTTGATGCTCCTGCGACAGTGGTCACCCCACTGGCAAGTGACCCTCACAGGCACCGCACCATTAATGGCAGACCCGACGCTGTGCTGCTCCTTGAGGTGCTTATACGCACCCGACTTCTCCGTGTAGATGTCATGACGGCTGTGTCCACCGGTAGACAGATCCCATTGGCAGGGAATTTCGGTTGCATAATCCGGGTCAAGGTCGAATAAATCTGACCCGACCCTAAACCGTGGTTTTACGGCCTCTAAGGCAAACAAGATCCTGAGGGTGAGGGGATCGTCTTCAGATACCGAAGCAGGAGCGTTAGATCTAGCCGCCCTCTTTCGGCGCAGGGTGCGATGCCGGCGGGAGACATTGTTCGCAGAGGGAGAGTGACCCTCCAACGCTGGTGAGAGTAGGGTGGATGAGGATGGATGAGGAGTGGGATCGATGGGTGTGTTGTCTACGGTCGGTAGGGAGGCTGGAGCGTGTAGGAGAGGTGTCTTGGCGGTGTCCGGAACGGGGTCTCTGTTCTGACTGATCTCCTCGAAAAATTCGCTGTAAGACCTCTTGCCGAAAGTGAACCCAGTCGTCGGTACAGGAGGCCGAGAGACTGCCGTCGAGGGAGGGATCGTGTCTTGCCGATCGATCCGTCGGCGTGCGGGTGAATTGGAGGTGGAGGATGGTGGAGGGAGGATGTTCTCTTTCGTGCTCGACGACGGTGGGTGGCTAGATGAGAAAGTAGGCTCAACTGTCAAACTGTGATCACGAACGAAAAGGGGAAGAACGCACTTTTTGGTGGGTGTCCCTTGCCCTCCTTTGACAACATCGTCTGTGTCGTCCGTCATCGTCGCCGTCCTAAAAAGCATCACATCAGCGTCTGACACAACCATGAAAGCCAAAGGTGGGGATGCATACAGCGTCGATCCTTCTTGTTGGTTCGAGATGGCGATGGAGAGTGTGTTTGAAATGGCGTTGGAGGGTGTGTTCGAGATGGTGGTGGAGGCTGTGTTCGAGATGGTGGTGGAGGGTGTGTTAGAGATGGCGGTGGACACAGGGTTCGAGATGGGGATGGAGGGTGGGCTGGAATGAGGTCTACGCGTGAGTCAACTGAGGGAGGGCAAAGAGATGGACAACGATAACGCACACAACGGATGGCCCGGGGATGGAGGAATTGCTCGCAGTGGCTTCCGCCTGGGGGGGCTCTTGTGGACTGATGGAGGACGGTATTAGTAATAATCGCACGACATCAAGCAGATCTAGACGTACGAATCAGGAGCCTCCTCGTCTTCCTCTGATACTAACCAGAAACCCCAGTCCACGGGGTCATCGGTAACTGCTGTAGGGGCGCGGGCAGTGTTCGGGTGAGTGGTGATGGAGAACATGTTATGAAAAAGGGAGAGGTAGGAGATGGAGGGGCGCAGAGGAGGAAGGATGTGGAGGGAACGTGAAGGCTGGAGGTCAACCCGAGCTGAGTCCTGCGCTTTTATATCGTGACGGGCCCGGCCTATCGATGCTAGTGTAAGCGATTTTTCGTCCACGTTACGTAGCGTTATCAGCAGGATCATGCTGCTTCAGGGAATGGGCCTCAAAGGCCCGTCCCGAAACGAACAGCAAGCGCCCCGCGCGTTGGCGTGTAGACTGCACGTGATCGCGTCTTGGTTTCCTTCGTCGACCGTCGTTACTACGCCCCAGAAAACACGCCCTCACCGGCACGCAGGATAAAATTGCTGGCGAGTCCGAGGGTGCCGCTTGCTAACACATTGGGACGCGACTTCAGAGACGTCCTCGGTGCGGCCGCGCAGTCGACCAAAAATTTCCTTTTTCGTCGAACCAAAAGGTGCCATCGGTGGTTCCACCTTCTCGAACAATCACTCATGCGTCGGTATGAGTCGGGAAAGCATGCGGCCTGTCTGGCACGGCACGGACGATGACGACGGCCACATAGATACCGTCCGTGGGTATTTCCTGCGTATCGATTTAATTTCGCTCTGAAATGACTCGCGGAACTTACGCACCTATGGCAGTAGCAGGTTGGCACCAACGGATTGTGTATCACGAAATGGCCGCGGCCATCATCGACAACGCTAGGGCCACAGCCCACCGTGGGCCTTGCCACTCACATCTGCCGGTGCACCTCTCTTGTGACGTCTCTCCCGACGACCTTTTTTGATGCCTCAAACAAGACCTCAACGTAGTCCATACTGTCAATGCAGCTACCTAGAGGTCTAGCGGCGACCGCGATGGGCGTATTAGGATCAACTTGCAGGCGGCTAATGTCGGTAAGCCACGATATCTTTGACTCATGACACAATATAAGTCTGGACCGTCGGAGAGCATGATCAGTGGCGACGAATCGGATGCATGGAAATAGAGCAAAAACTTGAGGATTAATGAGGCGTGTGGCCCAATATTTTGTCGGTTTTCCGAATTCTAATCGACCACGACCATGGAATGCTCCAGTAAAGTGCACTTGTATTCTTTACAGTCTATACATGCACGCTGTTGACTTGCAGGAAGCATCAACATCGAGTGTATACGAGAAGATAGGCGAAGACCTCCCACCACGGACTATCCTACTCCTCGCCGAGCTCCTGCCTCTCGCGACTCTGGACCTCCTCCTACGTTCTTCGACTTCTTCTCAGCAAACTCACCTTCCCTCACAACGTCAACGATAGTCCTCCGACCCTGCTCCGCCCGCACTTAGCCACTGGCCTTTTCTCCTCTTATACTGTCGGATTCTCATCAGCGGCATCCACGATCTCTGTCTACACGCCTCCATCCACATGTCCTTCCCTCTCCTCTTCTCCTGGCCGCCGCCAGCCATACAGGATCCACCTTTACCCCACTTGCCATCATGCCCGACTAACGCACACGGTTCCGATCTGGCTAGTCTTACCATCATCCACTCTACAAACTCTAGTCTTTCCTCCTCCCATCCCCCTTCCTCCATTATCTCCATCCTGGATCGCGGTCGCCACGTCTACCTCTATTTCGCGTTTATCCACTCGAGAGCCGTCATTGTCGTCATTCCTGCAGAACAGATACAACTTCGAGGAGTTCGATCCAGCGCTGTCCCTTTCAGCAGCTAACTCCTCGCGCTGTCGTACAAGCTCCAGCGAAATCATCCCCCCGCGCTCCCATCTCCTCCAAAACCAACAACCCTCCTCATCGAAGAGCAAGAGCCGAGAATTTTCGGTCCCAATAATTCCAGGTCGCCTCCTCTCGTATTTGGCACCATTCCGCAAACTTTGAGCTCGAACTCTGCTCCTGTGGTCAACTTCGCTCCGGCGTAGTTCGGGATAATCGACGTCGGCGCGTCGAGCCGCTGGCGTCTCGGGTTGGAGAGTTTAAGCGGAGACTCATAGATTATGAGGAGCTGATTGTGTACTGGTGGAGAGGAGAGGAGTCTGTGGGCCAGGAACTGATGAAGAACCTTGTTTGGGTATGGAGGATGAATGTTGGCGGGACACGTCACTATTCGGGGTGAGGAGGTCGAAGATGCGAGGGAGGGGTGTGGCATGATGCAAAATTTATGGACGCGGTGAACACGAGACCTAAGACGAGGAGAGACGGTTAGTTGGTCGTTGAGAGACGAGAGATTCAATATCGAACGCACGAGACTGGGAGCAACGATGAGGGTATATGAAACGTCGATCTCTACTCCCCATCTTTTGTGCTTGTGCCATTCATCCTCTAGAGCAACTTCTGAAGGCCCTGCTCAACCTCTACTCCATACAATCTTCTCTACTTGCTATGTCCAGCCTTATCAGATCTCTCTTCGACAGCTAGTGACGTTTCGGTGCGACCATGTCCGGCGAGAACGTGAGTGGATGCCGCGAATAATGCCAATAGAGCTTCAAACTAACAACCTGTCAGGATACAACGATATATTCGACGCGTATAGAGGCCAAAGATGATGACGAGGGTCGACCGAGGAGTGCACAAGTAAGGATGTGCGTTTCGAACCAAAAAGCGGAGATGTAAGGAGGTGAACTCGTTCACCGACGGTTACGAGCTCATATAGAATGAACTATTTTCTCTGCCTGAGACAACGCATAGTAGAAATCCCTTATGAGAAGAGTTGGATCCTGAGACGGCTGAGACAGACCAAGACTGAGGAAAAGATAGGAAAAAGATGAATAAAATCGAAGGTCCACCGTGACCGGACCGACTGCCGGCCGTGAATTCCCGGGTGTGGCAATTGTGGCACCCGCTCCCTCAGATAATTCTCACCTCCTCCAAGGAGCTCGAAACTTTTGATTGGTATACAACATATGCATATAATGTAGCATGAAATTGATTGAGCACAGAGAAAGGACGTGCGACAGATGAGAAATCGAAAGTCGTCAAAATCCGTCCGATAGGTTCCCGCACCAACTCGACAGTTCGCCGCGTTAGAGTCGCCAGTGGCGAGCACTATGTCCTCCATAAAATCAATTCTATTTCAGAATATCATTCTCTCTGTGTGTCTGTGTGTGTAGAGGTCAAAGGTGGCGAGTTGAATCGGGAGAGAGTCTGGTCCAACGACTTGCCAACGACAGTAAGTTACGTCGTGCCCCATTTTGCTACATACTGTCCAAAGAGGCAGCATCGTTCGAATCAGCGTACTAGTGACCCAGCAATGACCTCTAGGTGGGTTATCTAAGGAGTGCCCACCAAGATTTCTACGGAACGTTGTCCAGCCTATCAAGGCCGGTGAATAGTAAAGATTTATGGAGCCCGAGAGGGTTCGAAGCATGCCATGCATCGCCCAGCGTGTAGCATTCGGCACCGGAAGATATCTATCTTAGTTTCGGTAAGTCAAGATATATCAGGTTTGAAGTCGTTGAGGGGAAGTGCAAGTAATCATGGGGCGGCGGCTCACCCTCGAACTCAGATTTTCAGACTCCGATGCAACCCGTACATACTCACGCCACAACGGTGACAAAAATCACCCCTTGCCACATATTCTCCACATTCTCATCCGAGCAAGTACGCACATTTTTAATCCGTCATATGGTATGAGATCCTTAAGCACGAGTATCAGAGATCTCCAGGAAAACAAAACCCCAGCTTTGAGACAATGAAAAACCAACGGCTCACAACTTGAACGCTCTAGTAGCTCGACTCGGACTCGAACAAGACGGACAAGTCGATTATGGCCCAGAACACAGAGCAAAACATCCAACAGGTTCCGGAGTGACAAAAGAACCAGAAACCAAGGAAAAAGCTATTGATGAACTGTCACAATCAATAGCTCAACTATGAGTCGAATCGAGACCTTCCTACTGACCAACAGGATCGAATGAATAAATGGAGAGACGCGCTACCATTACGCTACCCAGCCATGAATATAGCAGGAATACGGGGCCAAGATGGAAAAACCCAGAACCAAGCAGCCCGTAGGTGGTCCCCGAGTTTGAGACACTGTGTCCGTCAAAAGAAAGACAAAGGGAAGGGAAAGGGAAAGATAACGATAGGCTAGCAAAATATACCATAGAACTTCGTCGTAGGCTCATAGCCAGACTCGGAGTCGAACCGAGATCTTCCTGTCAACAATTGCTTTACCTGCGGTAAGATATGTGGGCAGAGACGCGCTACCGTTGCGCTATCGAGCTGTATTTCTATATATGTCAAGATGGATAGGTTGGTCAATGCCACGACCTGGCTTGTAGAACAAAGCGACGTGCGGCCAATTCCGAGTATAAATCACGTTACTCATCCCAGAGAACAAGAAAAGAAAGACAAAGGGAAATGGAAATGGAACAAAAAGTGCGAAACGCACATTGTCACAAGCAGTAGCTCGATTCGGAGTAGAAACGAGAACTTTCATTCTCAATCAATATAAGACAACTGGGATACGGGACTTCATTGATAGAGACGCGCTACCATGAGCTAAGCATCGAGCTATAGTTCTGTATCTCCAAACACGGATAAGGTGGTCATGCCCAGTCCAGGAAGTGGAAGAAGGAAGCTCACAGGAAGAGCCAGAGTCGTGATAGCGTATAGTGAGATGAAAGAAAGAAAAACACCACGAAATCGACGATAGCTCAACTCGGAGTCGAACCGAGAACTGTCTGTCGACCAGTAGGATCAAAGAAACAAATGGAGAGACGCGCTACCATTATTACTTGGGGTCGACCGGCTAACGCCGCCCGAGCGGAGCCACAGCACGCAAGTCGTAGAGTACTCCCCATCCGGGCTGCCCTCCCAATCCGCCATTGTACCAGGAGGCTTGGTGTTTCGCCAGCTGAAATTAAGATCAACCACAATCAGTCAGTGACCATATCTTCAATATCTGTAGAGGAAGATTCAGGAAAGGGAGAAGCATGGTAAAGAGACTCACCCTTTCCCGTTCCCATTGATAATTCTCTTTCTCGTCTCGAAGCTTCTCCCTCTTTTTCGCCTTCATTTTCTCTGTAAGACTCTTCTTTTTCATTTTTTCCTCGAGGGTTTTCAGTTCGGCTTGAAGGGCACGAATGTCCTTTGGGTTCCAGTAGGGAGTGAACTCCCACATGCTAGTGGCTGTAAGCGGATCGCGGACTGTTGAAAATATGTACGTCAGCAAATTGATCACGGGTCTGATGCGAAGACGCATCAAAGGGGAAAGAAAACCTACAGCCAGTGTGAACGATCGAATAAAGCCAGTCTTCCTCAATACCCATTTGCAATGCTTCCTCTTCTTGAACAAGCCTGCAATTGTGGCAATCAACGCACAAGCCAGACGATTCCATGCGGTCAAATCGAGTTCAGCGTCAATTTTTAAGAAGAGTGTGTAATCAGAGAAATCTGAATGATGACGGTGGTGGTGGTGGTGGTGAAGATTGCTTACCCATCCGTGATACATTTACTCGGGTATACACACGTTTGACGCCTCACAGTGAAGTCGACGTGCATCGCGCCCTTCGCACCACAGACCTAGATATACGCATTCGTAAACCATTCATAAGAAGGAACCACAGCAATGTAAGCCACTCACCCAGCACGTATTCCCCAGGAGGAGATTCACCCATGCCGGTTCGGGATAGTCTTCGGGGCATTCGTACAAAGGCACCGGGTGGTTGTTCCAGATATCCAGCCAGATGGATTGCGAGCTCCGAGACCACAGTAATAGATGAAGTGCTTTGTTCGTCTTTGAGAGAGACAGAAGGTCCCGGGGACTGAGGTGTGATACAATCTGTCGAAACACGGAGGTGACAGAACTTAATGAGAGCTATGTTAAACCATCTAAACAAGAAACGAACCTGTCGAAAAAGTTCCATAGGGATAGTCGACAAGGAATTTGGGTGGGATGCTTCGCTTGCTGTGTCGCTGCCGCTATTCGCAATTGGCTTGGACTTGCTTTCACGCTTGACTTTCTTTGAAGACCGTGTATCCTCTGGTTCTAAGAGTAACGGAAAAGGCACCACTTTCAGTCCAGACGGGACATCACTCAGTCGCGACACAGTGACTCACCTTCTGACGGTTCTCGGATTCGTACAAGGCGTTTGTTTGGTTTCCGCTCCCACTTCGGGTCGGTAACTGCTATCTTCTTCGTTTTGCGATGTCTGAGACAAGAGAGCATGGCGGTAGTAAGTGATGTCGATGAAGTTGTGGAGGAAGGAATGAGAAGATGGTGGTGAACGATGAGAGAAGGCGACCTGAGGCCGGCCCCTCATATATGATGCGGAACAAAGGAGACACGCGGCAAGAACTTCTTGCCGACCACGTGGGACTGTGTCAGGGCCCTTGAACGTTGTTGGACCGAGTCACAATTCCTCGGTTCAATCATTTAGCCAGCTTTGTTCCCTACGCGGCAGGCGAAAAATAATTTCACATACTGTGTCTCAATAGCATCCAATCTACTTGGACAAGGTCGTTCTTAGCAACAATCCAAAGTGGTCGCGGGTCAAAGCACGAGAAGCGATGATGATGCGACAGTCCAGGTGATGGAATGACCCCTCAAGACGAGCAGTGACTCTAGGGCACACCAAGAACCTGATCATCGGATTAGCGCAATCTGATGGAGCAATCCGGAGAGTGCGGCAGGATCAAGACAAAGGAGTCGACGAAATGGGCCGATGATGAAACTGCGGCGTAAAGTACCCCAGAGATATATTCCCAGTGGCAGAACGAAGTCTGCTATCAAGGGGCACAATCGAGCCGCGTTCACTCTAAGCTTCCAGAGCAGGAATAGAAGCAGCGAGGAATGACTGCCTCCGCGTCGAAGCTACACAGGAAGGGATGATTTCAGAACAAAGGAACAAAGGAACAAAGCACCTCAAGCGCCGGAAGGACGTGGTAATCGGGAAAAATGATTGCTTCATTAGACGGCCAGCAGCTCGACTCGGAGTCGAACCGAGATCTTCCATCAACCATTAGGTCTACATCAATCTAAGATCGGGAACAGATGCGCTACCGTTGCGCTATCGAGCTATAGTTATAGCAAGGCGACCTCCTCGATAGTCATTTTTACCCGTACTTACGATATTATATCCTGGGAGGAAGAACAAAGCAACCGGCAGGATAAAAAAAAGTAAACCGCAGGCTTGCTAGTAGCTCGACTCGGAGTCGAACCGAGAACTTTCTGTCAACTGTATTGTTCGCTCTAGAAGATCAGAGACAGATGTGCTACCGTTGCGCTACCGAGCCATGTCCATAGCAAGGCGACCTCTACGATGAACCACTTCCATTCCTAGGTTCCTCTGTTTTCAATTGATGAAGACTTAGAATCCGGAAGAAAGCAGCACACAGGCGATTTCCGAGTCAGAGCCACTCTGTCCATCCAAGGCAAGAGAAACGAAAGACAAAGGAAAGACCGAGAACCATCAACACAAAAAGCGACGGCTTAGCTTCGAACGTAGCTCGACTCAGAGTCGAACCGAGATCTTCCATCAACCATTAGGTCCACTCCGATCCACAATAGAGAACAGACGCGCTACCGTTGCGCTATCGAGCTATATCTCTGTGCCTCCTACGGCGGATAGGTTGATCATGGCCAAGGAATTTGCACCTAAAGCAAGGCGAGCCGTGACAGCCTAGACGCGAAGCAAGACAAAGGAAAGCCCGAGAAAAGATAACCGTCAAGATCGAAAATTACGAAAACACTATCCCTACGTAGCTCGACTCGGAGACGAACCGAGATCTTTCTCTCCACCCATATAAGACAACTAGGACGCGATGCAAAGTGGGAGAGACGCACTACCGCTGAGCTATCGAGCTATGATTATAGCTGGATTATGGGGCCTAGATAAAAGAACGCAGAACAAAGCAGCGTACAGGAGAGCCCCAAGTCAGAGCCACTCTGTCCGTCCAACGCGAGAGAAAGGGAGGAGAAAGGTGAAGGCCAGCATAGGCTTGAAAAATTATACGGTCTGTGGAACAGGCACGTTACATAGCTCGACTCGGAGTCGAACCGAGATCTTCCATCAACCATTAGGTACACATCAGCCCAAAATCGGGAACAGACGCGCTACCGTTGCGCTACCGAGCTATAGTTATAGCAAGGCGACCTGCTCGATAGTCATTTTTACCCTTACTTCCGATATTATATCCTGGGAGGAAGAACAAAGCAACCGGCAGGATAAAAAAAAAGTAAACCGCAGGCTTGCTAGTAGCTCGACTCGGAGTCGAACCGAGATCTTCCCATCACCCATGACTGGAAACATATATAGGCAGCAAGTGGACGCAGACGCGCTACCGTTGCGCTACCGAGCTATGTCTATAGCCCGATGTCCTTTGCGATGGACTAGTCAAGATCTCAGAAACCCGAACGGAGAAGAAAGCAGCCCATAGGCAGTCCACGAGTTTGAATCATGTCCCGTCAGTCCAGATCAAGAGTGGAAAAAAAGACAAATAAAAACAGGGAAACAAACGATAAATATGGTCCACAACCAATAGGTAGCTCGACTCGGAGTCGAACCGAGATCTTCCATCAACCATTAGGTACACATCAGCCCACAATCGGGAACAGACGCGCTACCGTTGCACTACCGAGCTATAGTTCCGTAGCTCCCAAGACGAATAAGTGAGTAACGGCCCAGGACGTAGAACAAAGCAACCTGCATCCAGACCCCGAGTCGGGACACCCCTAAGCACGATCAAAGGACGAAGAAGAAAAAACATAAGCTTTACGGACTATTAGCTCAACTCGGAGTCGAACCGAGATCTTCATGTCAACCATTATTGGATTCATGGAAAAAGCCAAGTGGACAGTGACGCGCTACCGTTGCGCTATCGAGCTATAGCTCTATGTCTCCTGTGACGGATCAAAAGTTGGTCATAATCATGGACCTAGAACAAAGCAGCATGTAGGCGATCCCCGACTCCGAGCCACTCTGTCCATCAGAAACAAGAGAAAAAGAAAGAGAGGAAGACAGAACGCGAAGTATGAAAAAACTAGGTTGCGCTAACGGAATCCAGTAGCTCGACCCGGATTCGAACCGAGATCTTTCTGTCGACCATTAAGTCCGTGCCATTCATGATAAGAATTGGGGACAGACGCGCTACCGTTACGCTATCGAGCTATGTCTATAGCAAGGCGATTTCTATCATGGACCCCTTCTGATCACATTTCTCATAGATCTCGGGACATACGTAGTACAAAGCATCCCGCAAGACGTCCCCTAGCCTGAGCCACTATGTCCGTCAAAAGCAAAAGAAAGGGAAGACAAAGAAAGACAAAGAAAATATGACACATCATCTATAGGTAGCTCGACCCGGAGTCGAACCGAGATCTTCTGTCGACCATTAGGTCAATTCCGATCCATAATAGAGAACAGACGCGCTACCGTTGCGCTATCGAGCTATGTCTGTAGGTAGACTATGGGTCCTAGAGAAGAGAACCCAGAACAAAGCAACCTGCACCGAGCCACTCGTCCCTCCAAAGCAAGAGAAACGAACGACAAAGAAAAATAGAATGAAAAGTGTAAAGGAACACCTGTTCAAACTACATAGCTCGACTCGGAGTCGAACCGAGATCTTCCTGTCAACCATGATTCTACGTCAGAAAGAATGAAAGATAGGGAACGGATGCGCTACCGTTGCGCTATCGAGCTGTAACTTATAGTCAGAAGCCCTCTATAACTGACGAGTTAAGCTCTTGAGAATCAGCAAGATGGGATCCCCGAGTCTGAATATGTTGGCTAGGAAGCCAACCGCCCTAAGCCCAGAATCATAGCCATAACCATAGTGGCATCCTTGAGAGAAACAGAGCACGGCCTGCCCAAGACTCGAGAGAGATCTGGATAGATGCAGAGACGGGCATGGAGGTTGAGGACAAGTTGAAAAACTTTCGTGCACCTCCTCGGGATCGGCCCGCTAGCCGGCATTCCGAGCGGAGCCGCTTATTTTTGTTGTAAGTTTTTGACCACCACGGCCATCATGCTCTCTCTCATCGAACTCCTCTATTTGTACCTCTAGGATATCTTGCACTCGCATAAGTCCACCAGTACGTGCTCATACTTACAGCGCTTTCAGAAAGTATGCGGAATCGCGCGTTTCGCGATTTCGCCTCAGCCACAGGCCAGCCGGCGGCGCGTGTCCCGGCTGGGGCATCTCCCGGGTCCGGCAGTGGCGAGCGAGGGGCCTCGTCATGTGGCCCACACCCATGCTGGCTAACTGGGCTGCTATTCAGATTTTTTACTACATGTATCAAGCATAACATGACTCTCAAATATGTTCTTGGTGTTATGGGATACAGAGGAGGTGACTCTTTGGGGAAATGACCAGTGGCAATATATAATGGATGGTGTCAGGCAAGTTTGTGTTCTTTCGAAGTCTTACTGGCGACTCGGGAGCCCCTGAACTCGCCAAAAGATATCCTGCATAAAGAATAAATGTACGCGACTGCGTTTACTCACTGGAGTCACTTCATTGTCTCAACTGTGTGCTCATGGATGCATATTTGCAGTTGGGCCACAGTCGCGATGGCCCGGAGAGAGCCGTGCCGAAGCTCGCTCCGTCGGCTGGTCTGTGGCTGGAGCGAATTCGCGAAGTTTACGATTCCGCATAATTTC